CATGTAAGGTGGTGTCCGTCCCCGACGTTGCACCCAACTCCTGGATTCTACGAGTTCTCTCGAGAATCTCTGCGATCTTCTAATTTCACTCTGTTTTGATGCACCGAAGGCTATTTACACTGCTGCCACAGTACAGTTTTCCAAAAATGTTTTAATTTCCTCAAAAATACCAAAAGTGGGGTACCACAGGTAGCCTCCGCAGTTTTTCTGGGAATGACTAGTGCCTGAGAATTCAAACTCGTCAATAGACTGTTAAGTTGTGACACTAGATCTTTTCTCAACATGGTCTCTCAGTTCGGATTTTTGTATTTTCTGCGCGTTTGTGAGTTGAGTGTGTTGTTCACCGCGTGAGAGTGACTTCGGTTTGACGAAGGTACCGCATCCGAAGTAGGAAGTCCAACCCGGATGCCTTGCACTGGCAGTAACTAGTGGAAGGGTTGTAAATTCGGAGTTGGGCGACTACTTGTAGATCCTGTAAGTGTACTACTAAGATCTTACTTGTAGATCCATTAGCAACTTTCCCCCTGAATCTTAAATAGAGGCCCTAATCAACCTTTGAGTTGTGCATTTCCAGTTTCAGGTGTGTGTTGGGGTGAACTACGCTGCACTATGTGTCCTCTGAGTGACTTCCGAGTTGAGCACTTGCAGTATTTTTGGGAGTGACACTAGCCTGAGAATTCAAACTCCTCAATAGTCTGTTAAAACGTGACATTTAGTACTCTGTGTGTTGCCTCTGTCCCTGTGGGTTTGACCTTTTGCTGCTATACTGCAATTTTAGCCTTTGGTGGGTTATTACAAACTGGTACAAAGCATGAAGAAATTATTTGTTTCTCATTAATTTTGAAGTTGAAAGAAAGCTAAAAAATAATTAAATTTTTTGATAAATCACAAGTTAATGAAACACGTGATGATGAAAAAGAATAAATAACACTTAAAAAATTTTGCAACCTCAACTAGTGAGAAATGAAACACGATAGATATGGAAATCTGCTTATAATCACATAAATAACGTGAAATGCAAAAAATCTAATGTAATTTAATTAACAATCAAATAAACCATCATCATCAGTAAAAAGAAAGAGTTTCTAAATAAACCTCAATCTTCTGAATAGTTTAAAAAAAATTGCCCTCAATGTTTCGAAACAACAAAAAATTGAAATAAAAAATAAAAAATATTATTTTCCATGTTTGTGTCATTTGAATTCGAAAACATCATAATATTTTTCATATAGTTTAGATCCAGAAATATGTTTTTCCAAAATTTTTAATTTTTTACATATATAATTATTAAAATATAACTTTGATTGAGAATTAATTTTAGATATCCATAAATATTGCCCTGATCCAAATGTTTTAATTATTTATATTTCGTAAATAAATATAAGGTAAATATGATATAAAATTTAAAACTTAGCTAGATTTCTCCTAAAGATAATATTAAAATTTTTCCAAAATATTCTTTTGGATATCCTTATCAATTATAGATCAAAATTCTGAAACACAAAAAGTTTAGTGAACAAGATGTATATGATGAATTTTAAGCTATCATAAAAATTAAATGAATAATTAAATGAAACACTATTTAGAAAACCTTCACATTATGCAACTTCAAATTTTCTGGTCAATAATTTAAATTTAAAATATGATTTTTTCTTTTTATATAGAACTATTGGCAATGCAATAAAAAATAAACTATTCGGATTTATACTGAAACATTCTGTCATTAACATTCCCATCCCTAAAATTAAAATCTTTATGTATAAAATACTTAAAAATATAAATTCTCTAATATATTTTTGAAAATTTATTTTTTTAAAAATATAAAATATTTTTTACTTCTTTTTTTATTAATTCAGAAATTCTTATGATGAAAATCATATAATTTAATTTCACGAAAATATTTAAATGTTTAAAATATTTAAATGTAAATATCTTTAAAAAAATATGGCAACATATTATTCATTTACATAATCAACATATTTAACTTATTCATATTTGCATTATTTTAGAATTAGAAAATTGGATCCATTGCAGGAAGATTACGTTGAGATCATGGAGGCCATGCATAAGGTGACCAGGGTTCAATACTCTGTCGTTCCTTCGGGGACATCCGATAAAATTGGAACGATACAGAGAAGATTAGCATGGCCCTGCGCAAGGATGACACGCACAAATCGAGAAATATTACCAGCAGGAATTCCACATGCGATTTTTGTATTCCTGGTCATTCATTTTGGCTTTGCAAACTCACACAAACTAGTGATTCATGCCGATTTTTAAGTTTAACTTTACTTCGGTTTGCACGACTTGCAATAAAGAAGCCGAAGGAACAACAAAGATTTCGGGCTGGACTAGTCAACTGAGGTCACGTTGAGATCATGAAGGCCATGCATAAGGTGACCAGGGTTCAATACTCTGTCATCTTAGCAGCAGGAATTCATCATGCGATTTCTGTATTCCTGGTCATTCATTTTGGCTTTGCAAACTTACCACAAACTAGTGATCATGCCGATTTTTAAGTTTAACTTTACTTCGGTGGGCACGACTTGCAATAAAGAAGCCGAAGGAACAACAAAGCTTTCGGGCTGAACTAGTCACGTTGAGATCATGAAGTCCATGCATAAGGTGACCAGGGCTCAATACTCTGTCATCTTAGCAGCAGGAATTTATCATGAGATTTCTGTATTCCTGGTCATTCATTTTGGCTTTACGAACTCACACAAACTAGTGAATCATGCCGATTTTTAAGTTTAACTTTACTTCGGTTGGCACGACTTGCAATAAAAAAGCCGAAGGAACAACAAAGATTTCGGGCTGAACTAGTCAACTGAGGTCACGTTGAGATCATGAAGGCCATGCATAAGGTGACCAGGGCTCAATACTCTGTCATCTTAGCAGCAGGAATTCATCATGCGATTTCTGTATTCCTGGTCATTCATTTTGGCTTTGCAAACTCACCACAAACTAGTGAATCATGCCGGTTTTTAAGTTTAACTTTACTTCGGTGGGCACGACTTGCAATAAAGAAGCCGAAGGAACAACAAAGCTTTCGGGCTGAACTAGTCAACTGAGGTCACGTTGAGATCATGAAGGCCATGCATAAGGTGACCAGGGCTCAATACTCTGTCATCTTAGCAGCAGGAATTCATCATGCGATTTCTGTATTCCTGGTCATTCATTTTGGCTTTGCAAACTCACCAAATAAATGAGTAAGTCATGAACACCCAGAAAGTCAAAAGAAGAAAATGTGGTGAAGATTCAAGAAAGGTTTGTAATATCCATTATAGCACAGACGTTCTATAGACGGACTACTTACTTCAATACAATGGGAGGAAGTCAACCAGCAACAGGTATTGCTCAGCGGCATCAACTCTTCTTACTGCTGCTGTTCATGGACACTGATTTGACTTTGGACAAGGGCACGCAGCTGAAAAAATAAAAAATGGGACATCTTGAGGTCAAGGTTGGCTTGAATTGCGTTTTCAAAAGCGGAGGGGACGACAGCGTGATTCTGATGTACTCTTCACTGGAAGCAATGTCCTGTGCATTGTAATTGTTAGGTCCAACGAATAATATCAAAAGTGTCTATTCCAATATCTTCACTGTTTTGAGTGGAATTAACTGGCTCAAGTTTAGTACAAGGCGGGAGTGAAAATTCATATGCTTCATAATTTCCAGTTGGGCTTGGATATATATTAAAATATCAAACAAGTTGTGGAGCACTAAGGACCTATGAATATAGTTTTTTGTTTACTAGAAAAAATTGCATTAAGAGTTTGTCCTTATGATTATGTAGTATAGAGCTTGGGTCATAGTGATTGCAAGATATTTTTCACGTCTTGTGTAGCAAAAGAGTACCCTATTACTCCATAGATTGAAAGTTTCAAAGTCTAATGTGAATACTATAGATGCGTAACAAGTGCAACACTTCAGAAAAGTTCTTTTACATGTTAAACATTAGACACTTGTAAAGTCTCAGATTTTTGGCGGTAACAACCGTGAAAACACACAACAAAGTAAATGTAGAACATGGTTATTCATGTCGTCTTCTGTAAGAAGCAATAAACAAGCAAGAGTGGCTCTTAGCAGGATCGAAATTCGATAACAATTTCATGTTTTTGGATTAAAGACCTCCAAACTGTGCATGCATTCACATGCTTCACAGTTGGGGGTAGAAGAAAAATCATACCAGGAGTTGTGAACCTCGAGTACTGGTATGCTCTGAACACACCTCTTGGATATCATGCTTAGTAAATTCTCAAAAAGGTTATCAGCTTCTTCTGAACCTACAACTTATTTACAGTTATGTAGACAACTGTATTGGTCTTCAAAGTAAGAAAAAAGCGTAACATGCTTATTACACCAAGCTGACTACGCATGTGCCACTCAGCTGTCAGAATACATCCACTTGCTCGAATGATCAAGCATTCCAGATAAAGGGATTAATAGAATAAAAATTTGTAATTTCACTTGTCAGTGTGACATCATCGAGTATATGATCACACTGACGCATGCACCCACGTTTCCTCTTTGCTTGCACAACGAAGTCAAGATCTACTTTGACCTTCTAACACCATGTTCCAGAATAAATGGATTAATAAAATAGAAATTTGTAATTTCACTTGTCAGTGTGACATCATCGAGTATATCATCACACTGACGCATGCACCCACGTTTCCTTTTTGCTTGCACAACGAAGTCAAGATCTACTATGACCTTCTAACACCATGTTCCAATCATAGAGAATGAAAGAACTCGAAATTTGTATTCCAATGTTGTCATTACCTTGATCGCTCACATGATTCGATGACAAGATCTGATTGAAGACGATGCATGCTTTTGCCCCGTGCTAGCCATTGTGGGGTCTGTCTTCCCGTGGGTCTTGATGCAGCTAGATTCGCAGTCTCCCAGTAAAACTGTACATCCAGTTTTAACACAACTCAGGGTTCGTCACATCTGAGATATCTGCTATATAGCGCATTCCATGGCATTCTGCTTCCACATCATACCATCTTTGCTACGAACTTGATTTAAGATCTACCTGCACAGATATCATCTTGTCAACTCAATTCGGTCACCAGTGCACATCAAACGCCTCTCTCTCAGAGGAGTTTCTGAGAGACTTGAAGTCCACTTTTCCACAGGGTTTACGGTTTAGCTCGGAACTAGATTATGGTATTCTGCGTTCATTTTGATTCCCATCGCTTGTCCTGAGCTCGAACAGCCTCCTCTCTCCACTCTGCACAATCTCCCAGCGTTAGTGGTGATTGCTCATGATCCGCGTATTGGCAGATTTCGGATTGATATTTGTGTCGTTACTTGTGCACAGTGAAGGAAGTCTCCTGCACAGCACGCTCATGCACACGAGTTGTGACACTACAACAAAAACTCCAGCACTCTTCAGGACAGCCCAGCTTGCTGATCGTGTACAAGGATTCCTGTAGGCCCGGTTACATTTCGCCCGCGCATGCTCAGTTGCACATGTTTCTTCCTTTGTGAGAGTGGAGGAGAGAGTAGGAGAGAAACGAAGTGCCGGTGCGTCCATTGTCAGTGAAGCTGCTGAATTTGCGAGACGGAGAATGAACTCCGCAGACGAGAAGCCGGAGCTTCCTTCCGCCATCCAGGACCTTGTACGGCGTCTGGAAGGACAAGGCGAGCATATAACGCGGCTTCCCGCTTTAAGCGGGCCAGAATTTCTGGATTTCTTTCCGGAGCGTGCATTGCTCTCTACGATCATAGGGTGGAGAATCCAAGTGCGCTCTCGAGTGCTGGAGGCAATCAGCAACTGTAACACCCTTGAGATTCTGGACGTGCATGATATTTGTGAGGGAGATCTATCCAGGTTAGTGGCTAGGGAGTGGGAAGTAGTGTTGAAAGGTTTCAGCTCTAGCACCTTGCTGAAAAAGATAAGCCTTGAATATTTGATATGGAACTCGGATGCGGAAGTGGAGAGATTGTGTTTACAGTTGGGGAAAATTCTGAATTCCTCTAGCGTAACAGAATTGAAAATAGCCCGTTGCAGAATCAATGCCAGATGTTTCTTGAATCTCGCATCAGGACTAGGAGTAAATTGCGAATCTAAACTCGAGTGTTTAGATTTATGGGACGCGTGGGAGGACTCGAGTGCGGTGAAGCATGTGGCTGACGTGATCAACAGTGCTCCTCTATTAGAAAGGTTGCGTTTAGGCGGCTATCATAACGACATGGATGACGAGACCGTTGGAATCCTGTCACAGGCTTTGATCCAGAGCTTGTCTTTGAAAGAATTGGTCCTAAAGGGTGTGGAGACGGGAGCGGCCTTGTTACTCAGAGCATTGGCCGGAGAGGATCGCAACCAATCTGTTGAACGTCTTCAGCTGTGGCATATGGACGGACTCGGAGACTGTTTGAGAGAACTGCTTATTTCCAACCCTTCATTGAAGGAAGTGGAGTTGTACCGCTTGAACATGAGTCCTGAGGAATGGCACCAGCTCGGCAAAGTCATACGTTACAAGGCTGTAGCTACATCTATACTTGTAAAGTTTGACTTCGACTTTACAGACGACTGGGAGTCAATAGAAGCTCTTGTGGGTTCTGCTAGCTCCGATGTCAAGGACCCTACACTGGAGCTTGAACTCGAAACTTCGAGTGACAATGAGGTGATCTCATCATTGAACCTATTAGGTAGGGTACTGCGCGGGGAAATCAAATCTGTAAAATCTCTGAGTATATTGGCGGATCTTATAAAAATTATCACTTTCAGTATCCTCCCGATTAATGGTAAAACTGGAGAAACTTCAGTCCTGAAGAGATGGGAATTATCTCTTCGAAGCGAAGATCATTGGAAGGGAGTATGGGAGGAGCTGCTTCGGTGCATGCGAGGGAACCATCTCACTCACTTGGATTTGTCTGACTCCGAACTCGACGAGGAAGCGTTCAGGGACCTGATGGGGCTATTGCAAGTAAACTTGGCTCTCCAGGAAATAGACGTCTCACGAACATCATGGGCGAGGGACGGAAAGGCGGCGCAGATTCAAGAGGCCGTAAAGCAGAATCAGAAGCGGGCCGTCTACATGTCCGTGTTCCGAGAGGCGGACTTAACATTTGGAGATGCAAAAGCTGGTAGACTCTTCTTATGCGGCTCTCCTAGAGCAGGTAAGATGCACTGTAAATTCTCAGTTTTTTCTCAATGTACGTCAACTAGCATTGTGTGGTTTTCTAGAACTAGGATTGACACAACAAATCCTAGTTTGATCTATATATATTGATGTGTGTATACAAATAGTAACAGAGAAAAGTAATCAAATGTGTAAATCATTAATTAAATAACTTCAGTTGTTTGGTGATTTCTACATTTTTCTATCAAATTTATCTTTACATCTTAAAAAATAATATCAGGTCCTATTGTATCTGAAGATTATCATATCAAAACATATGTGAATATGTTGTCAGATCAAATTCTATTTTTTTGTGATTCTTTTTTCCAACATGCAGGCAAGACTCAATTGCGTAAAACCCTGATGAGGATAAATCAAGGCTGGCTAGGCAAAACCTCTCTATTCAATAAGTGGGACAGATTGTGGAGGACGAAAGGAATTGAAGTGGAGTTGTTGCAAAACAATCACAAAATGCAAATCTCAATTTGGGATCTTGCAGGACAATGGATTTTTCGTACCCTTCACAATGTGCTCTTCCCTCTAACCCACAATTTCAATATTTTTCTTTTTGTGTATAGTCCCTTCTGTGAGAAAACTTCTTCAAAAAAACCAGAGTCTTGTTTTAGAACTGAGTTAGAGGACTGGTTAAGTTTTATCACATCTAGCACTAAGGTCACAGGACAAGATCTTCCCAAAGTTTTTGTTGTGATTTCACACAAAGATAACACCAGATTCACCTCTTTGAACTGGGCTCACTCCATAGTTGACAATCTCACCAAAAGATTTGCAAATTTTGTGGATCTCCGCCCTATTGAAGAGTGTTTCTATGTGGATGCTAGGAATAAAAAGCAAGTTATCCCTCTCAAGAAGCACATTTCCGAGAGTTTTGACATATTGTTGAGAGAAAAATCTCCACAGGTTCCCCAAGTGTGTTTTCAAATCACCTCCATCTTGGTTACAAACACCAAGAAGAACAGAATTTGCCCTCTCTGGCCATCCAAAAAGTTTCATGATTTTTGTACACCCTACTTGACACAGTTCATTCCATCATCTTCTGCTCACTCTATTGATTATTCAAGGATAATAGAGTCCGTCATATCCTATTTGAATGACGTTGGATCCATCATATACATCCCTAACCTTGACTATATCATTGTAGATCCCAACTGGCTCACTAATACCTTCTTAGGTGAGCTGATAGCTCTCGGTCAAAATTTTCAAGCTCAAGGATCCCAGCCTTCTAATAGAATGCGCTCATACAAAAGCAAGGACGGATTTGTGAGCGAGAGTGTCTTTGCTGAACTGATAGAGGATTTTTTGGGAAAGCAACCACACATTCAAAATGTGGACAGAGAGGTGCTTGAAAACATCCTTATCACTTTAGATTTGTGTTTCAAGCTCGAAGATACTTCTCAGTATTTTATTCCTTCCTTCATCCCTGAGCATGCAAGCATGGAAGAACATAAGCATCAAGAAGAGGCGTGCGCGGAGTTGATGTATTGGGAAATTAGGTATGAGACTTCACAATTTGTCGGCATTCGGATTCAATGTCAAGATGGAAGAACGATGTCACTGACTGCTGCATTTTTTCCACGCTTTCAGGTGAAGTTGAATCATGCTTTCACAAACACAATGAAATCATTGTCTACGTCAAGTTCTGATTGTAATTAGACTATGATGAAGAGATTGTTCCCTTTTCAAAAATTGTAACAAGTTATTCAAATGTTCCACTAAAGATTTATCAAATTTTTTATCATTGTAGATGTTCATGAGACGCAAGTTGATATCCGAGATGCATGTTTCCGAGGAGAATGTGATCTGCTCTCGACATTATCTGCAACTTTTCCTTGATGGACATGAGATATATATCGAGCACGTTCAGAGTGAAAAGTGCCACAAATACGTTGATGTTCTGATGTTATGCTCGAGGCATCAGTCAAGGGAGATGGCTACTAAATATGTGATGAAGCATATCGTCCAGGAGTTGATATCATTTTGGGCATCACCGAAAGGCTGTCCGGGGGTTGCTTTAGTGCTCGGTGTGATCCAAACGTTTTGCGTGGAGACGCTGATTCCGAGTCATCTCAGAGGAGCCATTCTGATCGAGGAGCTGAAATCGGACTTCATTCGTGGCATCAATGACAAACTTGAGGAAATGCCGTTGGATGGGTCTCACTTGATGGAGAAGAAAAAGTTGTTCCACTACGAGCATTGTTGGCCCCCGATTGAAGGGCACAAAGGCAGAATATCCGAACGAGTTGGGGATTTGTTGTGGGAGAGCGATGTGGAAGAAGTTGTGAATAAGATTCGACAGACACGAATTGGAGAATTGAAGTCATTGCACGAAGGTCTTATTAGCGTTGAGAATGATTTGGCTCAGTCGAACCCTGAAGCTGAATACATGGTTAGCGACTCGCATTTCTCGCAAAAGAAAGACGGCAAACCATCTACATCTAGCTCCTTGAGTCGGGCCAGCACAAGCAAACCACCTACATCCAGGTACTTGAGTCGGTCTAGTTCAAGTGTGGAGAATCGTTCTACCCAACTTGTTTTGTTCAAGATCGACCAGCTAGAAGAGAAGCTAGTACAAAAGGTTGATGGTTTGGATGAGAGGTTAAGATCAGTGCAGGACATTATGTGGAGATTGGAGATGAAGATGGGACAGATACTCTCTCTGCACCAAGAGCTGCAGTCAACAATGAGTGACTTCGTGTCGAAAGTGGATAGGATAATCGAGTATTCCAATTCGGTTCAGCAGACCAGAATGCCCAAGCGACCTTACGTTACGAACGATGTTGGCATCTTCTATAGAATGAGTGCGTCTCTGCATTTCGGGACAACCGTTTGCTTACGATTGATGTGTGAGTCAGTGACTGGGTTTCACATTGTAGAAGATCAAGAAGGTTTGAAGATACGCTTGGACTTGGAAAATAGCTCGTGGATTAGTCGTACTATTGAAATCTCATACAAAGTCATGTATTATAGTGTGAAGGCTGGACTGGACTTTTACTTCCGTTTGGGACAAGCCATTCCGGAGTGGCAAGATTTAAAATCTGATATTCTTAGACTAGACAATATTAGTGATGATGATCGTAGGGCATTTCTAAAAGGTGGAGAAAGCAAGGAGCTGCAGGAAGCATGGTTGAGGATTCAGCAAATTCTTGCGCCCCAGCTTCAAAATCGCTATTCCGAAATCTTCAAGTTGTATCAGGTGAAATACGTCAGTTTAGAAAAAGGTGGGCATGCATGGGTGTGCGAGAAGTGCATGAATAGAGGAATTCGATGTGGAATTTTGACATGTTAGTATTTTGAAGATGTGAGAATGCCACTAGGCAATTGACAAGCATATGTGTAGACCCTCATGCAATATACAACTCCTCGCGGTTTTCACAAGAATAAGTCTCTTATAATCTTTATCATGTCAATCGCAAAATTATGTTTCTGAAGAAGATTAATTTTTGGTTAATCTATCAAGATGACTTTTGGAGGGTAGAGTGTTCGTATTGTCTTGTTGCAAGTCCCTTTCACTTGTCACGTGGGGAGTTCTATACATATCGTTGATTGATTCTTCTGTTGTTTCACGATGAATGTCCAACAACTGTATGATGGACCCGAATTCCAACTACGATGTGTTGTCTTTCTTAGGTAGTATATGTGTTTCAACAAGAGAGCAATTTAAACTAAACGCAGTGTTTCTACTAAATTCCATGCACGATGTACTATCTGTCAAGCTCAGAGATTGGTAGTTCATGTGAATCTGCTTCTGGCGCTTCTTTGTATGACCAGAAGATCTAAGAGGATTCCTTAGGTGGCCTGAATTCAGTTCGAATGCATCTTACGGGTAAAACAGAATTTGTGCACAAATCTCTCCCCTATGATGTTGAAGCTAATGTCTGCTAATCCAGCACGCCATTTGTAAAGTACTGGATGTGTTATAAGAGTTTTTTGTTTCGTAGTCTTCGCGCTGTTATTAGGTCGTTGCGATGCCAATAAAAATATGTTTAATTAATTTCATACGGTCACACCACATAACTTTATACATCTCTCAATGTAGTCCAGAAAGCTACCTTGCAGTTTTTCTACATCAACCTTAATCAACTTGAGCGAGATCCACAGTTCCACTGCGGTGTACAATTAGTTTGCTAAACCAGATCTCGGATTTCTGCATGCTCCGACGTCATGAAGTGTTCAAGATTCGCAGGGGTGGACTTTCCTAATCTGGACTTCAAAACAGGAGTCGAACATTGATGTGGCAAACCCTTGAAGAGATGATGCGGACGTCCTTTGTCAAATGTTGGTCCTGTGATCGGAGAACCAGTGCATATTTAGGTTGAGGATGGTGCAGAGTTTCACAAAATCTGCTTACTTATACTCAAAAATTATTCGGAATTGGCGTTCCTGGCAACTTCGTACAGGTCTGCAGAAACGGCAACAGACGTGTTTCTGGTCGCGAGATTGGTGATGCGACGAGCTTTTAGCTGGTGAATTCTTGCTGGATTAGACGGTTGTCACACTAAGCACGAAGCTCTGCCACCAACTGCGCTCTCCTCGCCTGCTTCAAAGCAGTTCCCACGTTCAATGGAGACCACTTTTTCCACCTGCAAGCGGCAATTCACCTACTGCGAGTCTCTTCTGGTTGTCGTCTTCTCCATTCCATCTAATCAGAAGATAGGTTACAGAAAAATCAAGCCTGTTTCGAAAATATATACTGACTGGGAAAGTCAGGCATGGATCTGTCAGCTATAATCTGAAAGTCTCCGGTGCAAAGTGTGTTTGCCAAGAAGTTGGTTGTATAAAGCTGACCTCAATCTAGCTGATCTCAGGTCCCTAATGCACCCTTAGTGGTGAATAGGTGAGGTTTCGAGTGAATTGTACGACTACTGGATATTTTTAAGTTACATACAAATTTCTCAGAAGTTTATTTATTACTGTTGGTAGGTTTAAGTTACATACAAATTTCTCAGAAGTTTATTTATTACTGTTGGTAGGTTTATCCTCTGTCTCCTTTCAAGAGAGTACAACCTCGATGATTATTATCTCACTGAACTAAAATGTGATTATATATAGGATTAATCAATTCAACATACATTTAATACAATTTAAATGTATATGATTGGAATGTTAAATGCAATGTACAATGTACAAAAATTAAATTACAATTAATATTGTAAAATTGTGTTGAATTCAAAAATGAAAAAATTAAACATTAAATTATGTTAAATTTAATACAATTTTAATGTATATGATTGGAATGTTAAATAAGACAGAATATCCGAGTGTCAGCCCTTTGTATTTCGTTTTGTTCGGGAGACTGTCTGTCGATTGTCTTGATACTGATCGTTGTGTGTGTTACGAAGACAAACCGAGTAGTTCCCACGAGTACTTTACACGGAGTAGTTTCCACGAGGAATTCTGCAGATTTATCCTTGCTACCTCCGGCCTGACTGTCGATTGTCTTGATACTGATCGTTGTGTGTGTTACGAAGACAAACCGAGTAGTTCCCACTAGTACTTTCCACGGAGTAGTTTCCACGAGGAATTCTGCAGATTTATCCTTGCTACCTCCGGCCTGACTGTCGATTGTCTTGATACCGATCGTTGTGTGTGTTACGAGGACAAACCGAGTAGTTCCCACGAGTACTTTCCACGGAGTAGTTTCCACGAGGAATTCTGCAAATTTATCCCTGCTACCTCCGGCCTCACTGTCGATTGTCTTGATACTGATCGTTGTGTGTGTTACGAGGACAAACGGATTGGTTTCCACGAGGAATTCAGCAGATTTATCTTTGCTTCCTCCAGTCTGAGTACTACTTGGGTGCGTAGCTACTACCGTCCTTTAACATCGTGCGTGCTCGTATGTACTTGACATTTGGGCTAAGGCAGGTCGGTAAGCTAGTTGTCAACGCCATCAGCGCATTGAAGGCTATTCCGCAAGGAAATGTTGGATTAAAAGTCAGTACTAGAAAGCAATGAAGGTAGAATGTGTGCACACCGTCATGGATTTAGTCAATGTTTCAGTTCACTAGCGCGTGATTTGCCAATATTTAAGCGCGCACTGCTTTCAGTTGTTCCTCAATCTCGCGTGGCGAGTGGCCTTTCCTATTTCATTTTTGTCTATGGTTAATCTATGGCATTTTCGGAGTGGAAATGTCCAAACGTGGATATGTCATACTTGACATATCCCGTTTTCAGATTGGTATAGCTTGTACCGTCTTGCAAGCACATCTTTCAGCGTGCTTGCGAGAGTTTCAGACAAGACAAAGTTCAGTCTCACTGTGGAAACTGTGAACTTGTCACCACACGATTTCAAAGCGTTTCGGTAGATCACTGCTAGGACGTCTTTGAGGCAATATGATGGGAATTAGAGAGGTCAATGAAGACAGCTTGGTAGAGCAGCTCAGACTCTCTGTTGTAGCTGAGATATGTGTCGCCTCAGGCCAGGCACTTGGCTTATCTGGTAACAAGAGACCTATTGGTGGGAACATATGTCTTGATGGACTTGCGAAGGACTCCGTTATAGCTGCAGTTGTCTCTACGGAGGATTCCTCGCTTCAGATTTACGTGTTTGTCATTGACTCTGACATCTGTTTCCATAGAGCGCAGACGGGAAAAGCAAATGCGGTTCTCGTCGTAAATTGACAACAATGGATCCACCAACTCCAGCCACGATGTGAGAACAAAAATTTTCAAGAAGATGTGTAGAAGATGTGATTGATTCGTATAAGAGTTTGATGGACAGTTGTCTGCTTTCTTGGTGAACATTGGGACTCGTCCAAAACCTACCTGAAAGAATGGTGTTGGTTTTTTTCCAAATACTGTGAAACATGCCAGTACTCAAGTACATAGAATTTTTCAGCACTTCGTCAGGTTCGAGTGTACAGGAATAAGCAGTGGGTTTCGGAGGTCCTTTTTCCATATGCCATGCCGAAGAATGCTCTTCCGCCTTACATCTCGAGCTCATATGTTCTTGATATCGGAATGCGTACTGTAGTCTTCAGCTTCAAATGTTGTAATCTGACATTTGTTCCAGATTCCGTGATATTAGGAAGTGATTGACCATCTTGTGCGAACATCGGAGTTCTTGAGCTGCTAAACCTCGAACCTCATTAGTAGCTATTCTCTATCCTTCTTTGAGGTCTGATTCGAACCTCAAGCACAGTAATCAACTGGTAGAAGGAGGTTTTATACTCGAGGATCTAAAGCTCCTCGGTATAAACCTTGACTCTACGGGACTTGAATTCATCGAAGGTAGTAGACTACGGCCGTTTATTCCGTCATTTATCCTTGGAGGAAGATATACTTGAATGTCAAAGATTGCGTTACAGTTACTAATTTGGATATACATATGTAACATCAAATTTTGGTTGCACCAGCCCTGGAGATATATAATGGCATAGTGCCTTTCACATGCTTGATAATGCCAAGGTCTGAGTGTCAGAGACTTTCAGGTGTCAGAGACTTTGCTGCAAGAGCTAATAATGGCAGGTGTTGGTACAACCGGACCAGTCATATTCGTTGGTCACGATATTGGAGGAATAATTGCAAAAGAAATTTGTCGACAAGCTTACAAGCGACAAGCTAGGGGCCTCGGTGAGGATATTCGAGCAAAAACCACTCTTCTTCAAAATTTGAGAGGCCTCCTCTATTAGGGAGTGCCTCATCATGGAAGCATAATCACAGATGTTATAGAAGAATCCATCATCGTGAAAGGAGAGCTGGTTGACTCCATAAAGGTGTTCAGCAAAGAATTGTCAAGACTCAATTCTGTTCATGACCGTCTTTGTAAAAAATACGAGTGGGAGATCGCAGGCGTGGGTGAATCGTTACCTACGAAGCTGGTAACTTTCAGTAATCACTCTGCATAGTGGCTCCTTTTAACATTTTATAACGTGGTCCCTTGTTTTCAGTAGTATGCGAGAATCTGGCATGCGTGCACTCACATTGCAATAGAATGAAAGTCTCTACAGTATGAGTTTCTTATGTTAAAAATATACCTACTCTTGCTTGCTTCCATCAATCAATCAACATGCTTCTGTTCCACCGTACGATACTCACTGTTTAATCCTCTCTAGCTGGGATTCCATGGAGTCGTAGTTAAGGAGGCATCTGCAAGACGTGGCAATTTCATCACACTCCAGGAGGAACACTTTTCACTCTGCCAACCAGCGAGTAGAACTAACACCTCGTATCAGCACTTAGTAAACTTTATTGATAAGATTCAAGTCAGGGTAACTTCCATTAACTTCTCTTAGTATCGAGATCTTACGAATGCGTAGAGTGCTAGAGTACCTTTTATGCTTCTCTATATGCGGTCTTTCCTGTTTCGCAAAAGATTTTGGGCATGGATTTCTGCTGTTTCCTGGTAACATATTTGAACGTACAAGACAGAAATATGCTGATCTTGCTAGATTATGCCGCAGGTCAAGAAAAC